AATTCATGAACTTCGAGGAAAAGAACAAAGACTTAACAGAGCCAGGAATATCGGCTGTTCTACAAAAGTGGGAATGCACATTAACGAGGACATGCAGTTGGCGGATCGGGAAGTCTGAACCTTCCAACTACCTCAGCCAGCGGGCAAAGGGAGAGAGAGAATCGGCCGGGAAAATGAAGATAAAAAGGAGGCCGCGAACTACAATGGCAGAGAGCGCAAGTCAAATGCGCCACGGCCTCTCCCTCTGCTCAGCAATAAAGTCACTTGTACAGGACTCCTCTGTCTCCTCGGGGCACAGAAACCTCCGGCCACGTGAATTTCCCCGTACAGCCCCGGGCACGGGGCAGCCGCCTCTGTCCCAGCCACAGCAACCGGGCCGAGCCAGCGCTGCTCCGGCAGCGGCTCCTGCCGAGGCAGCGGCCGCAAGGAGACCGCGGGCAGCCGCTTCCGCAGCGCCCTCACGCCAGCGGCAACACGCGCCGGACATAGCACAACGAACCCGCCTGAGCCCCCTGCCGCCCCCGAGGCCCGCAGCGAGCCCCGAGCCCCCGCACAACCCAGCGCGCCTCCCACCTGCGCTCCGGCCGCCTCCCAGCTCCGCCGCCGCCTCACCGCGCTCCGGCCGCTGCCGCCGCTCCCGGGCCCGCACAGACGCTCCGCCAATGGCGCCGCTGACGAGCCACGGACGCCCTCAGGCCGCCACCGGGACCCTGCCCCGCCCCGATCCCACCAATCAGCGCGCCAGAACCACGACTGACGGCACCATCGCCCAATCGCAGTCGGGGGCGGGCTCTGCACACGGCACACCCTCGCCCCGCGCTCTCAAGGCCCCCCGGGCTGCGGGAGGGCAGAGCCGGAGATGAGGAACAGCCCTGGAACGGGCCCGGGCCCGAGGGGATTGAGCTGAAAACACAAACAAACTTCTCCGCACCTCCCGCCACGGCTTTCCCGAAGCACTGCGGCTCCGGTGGCTCCGGCTCAGCGGGAAGCCCTGGAGCCTCACTACTGCTACCCCTAATTAGGAGCATCAGTGCATCGTTTTGATTTCCCTCAAATAGGGAAAACTGCTCAAAACCTCTGTGGATGAGTGGGGGAGGGGAGAGATTTCTGACAGAAAACCCCAAAAACTCGGAGCAGGATAATGAGAAGTAAGTGAAGAGCCTTAAATCCAGCCTTCCCCCACGCCTCCCTCCTTCCAGCTGCACCTCCTACCCCGGCAGTGCCGGAGACAGGGAATGGGGCCGTGCTCACTTCAAGCCCCGGGGCTTCTCCCTCTGCTCAGGGACGGGAGTCGTTCCCCTGCTGCACCCTGGGCTCTCTCCCACCGGAGACTTCTCCAGGAACTTCTCCAAGCTGAGTCCATCCCATGGGCTACAGCCCCCCTCCAAGTGCTGCAGCATGGGTCACTGTGCCCCGGGGTCAGTCCTGCCAGGACAGGCTGCTCCAGCGGGGCCCCACTGGCCACGGGGTCACAGCCTCCTCTCAGGCATCCCCGTGCTCCAGCGTGGCTGCTCCGGGGGCTGCAGGGGGATCTCTGCATCCCCATGGATCTGCAGGGGGATCTCTGCTACCCCATGGATCTGCGGGGGGATCTCTGCATCTGGCACCGCCGTTTTTGGAGGCACCAGGAATAGGCTGAGCTCTGCCTGAAGCTCTTCTCACATTCCCCACACCCTTCCCGGCACAGGGAGGCTTTTACCTCCTCACAGCTCCCCAGGCTGGGTTTGCAGCCCCTCCTCGTGTGGGATTTCTGGGCCTTTTCTTCCCCGTTGGATTCCTGCGCCGTGGAGCCGTTCCAAATGGCCTCTTCCACGAGGTTCTGTGGCAGGGATTTGTTCTCCCTGGTCTCTGTCTGCAGCTCAGTTCCTGGGGGAGGAAGGACAAGGAGAGGAAGAGACAGGGAGAAGGGAAAAGGCAGGAGGAGAGGAAGGAAGAAGGAACAAGGGAGGAAGGAGATGGGAAAGGAACGTGGATGGATGAAGGACAGAAGGGGGAGAGGGAGGAGGGCAGAGAAGGAGAAGATGGGATTTGCCTCCATGCCAGAGGGAAGGGGAAGGAGATCCCCCCAGTCCATCCCTGGCAGGATGGCGTTGGCAGTGAGGTTGTCCTGCAGCGATGCTGGGCTGGGAGATGGAGCAGCAGGGAGGGGAAAGGGGCAGTGATTCCTCCTGCCCTGCCTGGCTGTCCCAGTCTGGAGCGTCCTGGCGCTGCCGAGGCCCTTGGAGCGTTCGGCACTCAGGAGCCCGGAGCTCATGGCTGCTTTATAAAGCTGACAAAATCGGCAGGATGGGTCTGGGTATGATCTCAGCAAACTGGGTTTATTGGTACAGGAACAGGGGACAGAGCTGAACAGGGTCCAGGGACAAAGACAGGGTGCAAGCTGAGGGCACAGGGGGTTTTTATATGGGGTAGTGAGGGTGGAGCTGAGGGTCAGGGTCCAATGGATATGGGGGAAAATGGAGCAAAGGAGGGGTTAAGGGTCAGGACAGCTAATAGGGAAACAGGGGCAGAGGAATGCAGTAAACTGGGGCCAATGGAGGGACAGAGAGAGAGAACATTCTAGGGACTAACCAAAGATGGGTAATAGGGGTTGAAGCAGGGTAATTAGCCAATGGGCCAATGACAGAGCATACTTTCCATAAATCAGCATGTGCCAGCAAAGATCTATGGGAGAAGCAAGCTTCTCACCATAACCTTGAAATCTATTCTTCTTCTTTGGGACCAGTCCTCCACAGCTGTAGAGCTGCGACTGCTGTTACGCCCCTGGGCCTCTACATCAGTGTAGTATCCTTTTCTTCTCAGCCTCCTTGTCTTCCACACAGACCAAGTTTAGGATTGAGAGATTCTAGCTTGGGGGAACAACAAGGGGTGAACACCATGGGTTTTGTGAGAAAGGAACCTTACTCTTTAGAATTTTTTAAAGTTTAACAACGGCTAATTAAAGACAAATTACTAACAGCACTGGTGTTTGGCAATGGCCAGAGGCACACCGGTTAACCACAGCAACTCCTTGTCTACTTTTTCCATTGTATTGTTGAAATACATATTCATAATGATTGTACATATTCAAACATTTCTTTGAACTCATTTACATGTTCCAGGAATTCTTTAGGTTGGTTTGACCCCCAACTCGCCTTTTTAGAGCACGTGCAGGAATCGTGGATTGCTGTTTTGAGGGTTGTGTGTCACTCCCTCACAAGGGGCCCCTGTTCTGTGGTTTCAGCAGGTGACAGTTATTGACAGTGGAAAGGTCAATGGCAGGGGTCTTCATCACATCCCTTCCTTAAATGTTATCTGACCATGCAGACGCTTTTAGCTATTTCCACAAGTACTTTAAATGTACATTAGCTCTTTCACAAATATCTCTGAGTCATTCTCATTATTGTCAGTTAGTTAGAAAAATAAAAGCATTAATTCTTATTTGACAACTACAGCTACTTCTGCAAAAGTTAACATTATAATGCACAACACATGTCCAGGTTTGAAAAAGAAGTAAGTTTTTTGGGATGCAGTGGTCAAACCAATAGGTGCTCAGATTTGAATATTGGCACCTGGTGTGGCCACTGAGGACATGGATATGCCTCTGAGAACCCGGGGGTTAAAGCAGACAATTCCCAGGGGAAGCTCTCTTGGTTCCGGTGCGTGAAAGGTTCAGAGCTCCCCTGCCCAGCTGCGGGCTCGTTGCGGGAGGGGAAGCCATGCGGCCGGGTGAGGTGAGCCAGGCCTTGGACAGAGAAGGGAGGTGAAGGCCCCTGCAGGATGGAAGGGTAGAGGATCACTGAGAGGGATCGGGCAGCCACTCCACCCCCACCCCAGGAGAGAGAGAGAGTCGGTGTCTGTGTCTGTGCCACCTTGAAATTTGATAGCACCGCCGGAGGAGAAGGGCGGGGGGATGAGTTCTGGACCGGCAGAGCCTGAGATTTTTAACCCTTTTCTTGGATGATGGAAACCTTACAAATGCTGATCCTCCTGGAGCTGAATGAGAAGAGAAATAGAGATGAGATAAGAGGAAATGGGCCACGAGAGAAGTTGAGAAGAATCTTGGTGGGTGGATGATGGAGTGGCCTTTGGCTGGACTTTTCTTGTATAGCCATGGACAGAACCATTTTTCCTGTGACACAGACACTGCATGAAGGGGGGAGGCAATGGCTTGGAGCCAAGAGAGTGCAGTGATGTTATGTGAAGGAGTGTGTGAACAGAGAGAACAGGTGAGGAGGGTGGTGGTGCCCTTGATCTTCAGTGAAGAAGAAGATCTCTGTTCTCGAGACCCCTTGGCCCCAGGGGGTGAATTTGGGGGGGACAGGTGTCCCAAAAGTGAGAGATTGTGCTTTTTTTTTGAACTGGGCAAAGCATATTTAAAAGGGGAACCCCAGAAGCAGCTTTGGTCCATGTACAGTGGTGAGAGCACTGGGCATGAAAGGAAGATGTCACGATGGCAAATGTTCTCTGGGCGGTGCCACGTATGACATGGAAACACACGAGGTTTCAACTGTGTTTCCTGGGGAAGCCTATGGTACAAGAGGGACTCCTCTCTTCTTGATAAACTGAGAATTTATTATCTAAAGGGTGGTGATGGACTGAGAGTTGGTGATCTGAGGGGTGGTAACTGAATTGAGAATCCAAGGTTTTGGTCTTACTGTGATGTATTGGAAATTTGGTGGGGGGAGGAGGAATGTTTTTGGAGGGTTTTCATTCTGAGTTCTGTGTGTGTTTCTTTTTAGATATAGTTGTAGGTTGATAAAGTGTTTTTTTTTTTTTCCTTTATTCCTAAGTTGGAGCCTGCTTTGCTCTATTCTTGGTCACATCTCACAGCAGACACCAGGGAGAATATATTTTCATGGGGGGACTGGCATTGCGCCAGCGTCAACCTTGACAGCAGGCCCAGGCCATTGGAGACTCAGGCTTCTATTGGCTGGCTGACCAGGAAGTAATTGGCTCAGCCAATGAGGATTAACCTCATGGGCTCCTAAGGTGTATAAGGGAGCAAGATCTGAATAGAGTGAACTGTTGCTGCATGAACTCAGTGTGTCTTGTCACTGGTCTGTCTCTGAAACTGTGACAATTGGTGGACCCTGATGTGATTGCAACAGCTGCTGCCAATAGAGCAGGGAGACAGACGGGGCAACCAGGAGGAGTTGCTTGCAGCCTCTGAGCTGCAAAGAACGGCATATAGAGCTGTGATTAGTCTGGACCCCCTTTATTTTTTCTTTTCTTTTTTTCTTTTTTCTTTTTGTAAGTGGAAGACACCACCAGCATGGGAGCATGGTCTTCAACACCAGAGGACCCCCTCCTGAAGGTATGGTTTCCCATTTTAAAGAAAAGATTTGAAAAATATGAGGAATGGTCTTTATTAGCCTTCATAACGTGGTGTGAGAGCCACGGACTGGATGTATTAGAATGGGCTGTCCTAGATTTAAAAATTTGGGAGCGGGCTGGCTGACATATCCTTACAGCTGTCTCCACAGGAGATGACTCTGCCATTTATGTTATTAAACCATGGAGACTCATAATAAACATTATAAAAATGTTGCAGAGCAAGCAGGTGGTGAGAACGGCAGAGGAATCACAACTGGTACTGTCCACCAAGGCGAATGGCAAAAGCACGGCACCAAAGGAGGCAGCGGGGCAGGCAGACGTCGTGCTGGATGCAAGAAGGAAAAGGATGGGTACAGAAAGTACAACGTGCGGGGAGGTCTACGGGCGGAGCTGTGGAGCCTCCCCAAGCGAGGGTGACCTACCCGGGGAGCGCCCTGACACCCTCCAGGACCCGTCCCTGAGGCCATCAGCGAAACCGCCCCAAGCGGCTGTGCTGTGTTAAATGGGCACTCTACAGCCCCTCTGTGCCCTGCTTGAGATGAGGGATTACATTTTGTTCGTCACGAAAAAGAGACCAGTGTGTTACAAGAGTTGTCTGCTGACTATTTCTGTACTACTTCATGAGATATGAGCTACAAGGATACCAGGGAAGGGGTTGCAGGAGCCCACACATAGTCCCACCCAGCAAATGGTACAAACAGATAACTCACAGAAATAACGACCAGGGAAAGGCTGGGGAAAGGGTAGGGGCAGATTAACACCCAGCAGGGAAACCTTTCCTGCTGACAAATGGTACAAGCAGATAACTCACAGAGATAACGACCAGGGAAAAGCTGGGGAAGGGGCAGGGGCAGATAAACAGTCTGCAAGGCAGGATATTTGCTTGCTTAAGCTTGATAGGGCACATATTGCGTTAATCATAAGATTTTGGTAATTTTCCACAGAGAAGTCACCAAATAAAGACATAGGGTGAAGAAGACGCAGCTGAGGAAGACTCCGCAGCCTTTTATCACCGACCACCAGGAGACAGAAGGATGACCCTCTAGCAACAACCAGCGCAGGCGCAGAGAACTCCGAGATAACATGGACTCCTGAAGGATGGAGAGGATAAAAGGACTGAATCAGAAACTAGTTGGCGCGGCAGTAGGTGGAGCGGAGACTCCCCTGTCGCCCAGCACTGAGCCTTTGCTTACGTAGTATAACTGCTTCAATAATTAATAAATTCTTTGATTGGAAATTACTCGTTTTGAGTCAATTTTATAACAATTTGGTGCCGCGACTCGGATGAGAGTTTGGATCGGGTGGGATCTACCCAGAGTGGGGGGCGCCTCATCCAGTGCTTTCCGGGTGGCCCCTCTGGGAGAACCTCCGCCACTCTCACCGACGACCCTAAAATATATACTAGTAAGCAAACGGGACAAATTATACCGGTGAACCCCTTAATAATCTGTGCACGGAGTCCGGACGAAGACGCAGGACGCGTAAGTATAAAAGGGAATCCCTTCGGGCGGGGTTGGGATCCCGGAGTGTGGCGGTGGACAAGTGTGAATGAGAGGAGGGCCGGCAGCCGGACTCTCCAAGTGAGTGCGGACCCTTGAGTAGTGCGGTTCCCGCAGACCCGCGAGGGCTCGGGCCACGAAAAAGGGGAAGTGAAAGGAATTTGAGAGTGAAAGAAGGCACTCCGGACGAATGGGGCAGGGGAAAAGCAAGACCCCAACCCAAGTCAAACTCCCCCCCATTCCAAGGGACAATCCCCTAGGATTTATGCTTAGTAATTGGAAGCATTACCCGGGGACCAAGACTAAGGATAGGGCCAGAATGATACATTATTGTATGGGAGTATGGGGTGGGAAAGAGATTTCCAAAAAAGTTTTTTGGCCTGTGTTTGGATCATCTGAAGACTGGGTTCAACAGGACTTGAACCTATGGGTAAATTCTAAAGAGCCCTTCTCGCAAGAGGAGTGATTATGCCAAAATATGGGTAGCAAGACCCGAAGTGTATGTTTTCCAATTAAGAGAAGGGAAAGGGGATCCGGACAAAAAGGGGAAGAGGGACAATCATTTGGGTGACTTAATTATAGCACCGCCCCCATATGTCCCACCGCTAGCACCCAATGCCCCACCACCTCCACAACCACCTGCACCGAACAATGATGAAGAGGGTAACCAAGGGGAGGTTAACCAAACCGGTTACCAAGGCCCGATTACAAGGAGCCGCAGTAGGGTTGAGACGGGGCTATTCCCTCTACGGGAGATGCCCATGGGTGGACCACAGGCGGGTATAGGATTTATTACTGTCCCCTTGAGTTCAGCAGATGTACGAGACTTTAAGAAGGACATGGGACATTTATTAGAGGACCCTTTTGGGGTAGCCGAGAGGGTCGACCAGTTCTTAGGACCAAACATCTATACCTGGGAAGAAATGCAGTCCATTTTGGGCATTCTGTTCTCTACTGAAGAACGGAATATGATAAGAAGGGAAGGAATGCATATTTGGGACACGCAGCATGTCCAAGGCCCGGCTGCGGACACTAAATGGCCCCTACAGAACCTCCATTGGGACCACCAAAATGCGGCACATAGATTACTGACTAAGATACATCAAAAAAACACATTGGGGATCACAGGGACTGGTAGATTATTTTGCTGCAAAGTATGTGAGTGTGGGAATCTGGGACATTGCCAAACAAGTAACCAGAGGATGCCTAATTTGCTTACAAGTAAATAGAAAAAAAAAATTGAGAAAATTACCGGAGGGAGGCCGACCGCTAGCGAAAAGGCCTTTCTCCCACATTCAGATAGATTTCACCGAGCTCCCCAAAGTAGGGAGAACCAAATATTTATTGCTCTTGGTGGACCACCTAACACATTTTGTGGAAGCCTTCCCAACCGTAAGAGAAACAGCCAAAGTAGTTACGAAAATATTGATGGAAGAGATAATCCCGAGATATGGGGTCCCAGAAGTCATTGACTCAGATAGAGGGCCGCATTTTATTTCCCAAGTTACCCAAAACTTAGCAACAGTTCTGGGCATACAGTGGGAACAACATGCCCCCTGGCATCCCCAGAGCTCTGGACGAGTTGAACGAATGAATGGGGAAATAAAAAAGCAATTGACCAAACTGGTAGCAGAAACCAATTTGACCTGGGTTAAATGTATTGCTCTAGCGTTGCTAAATATAAGAACAAGACCTAGAGCTGATTTAGGGGTATCACCCTTTGAAATGATGTATGGGATGCCGTATAACCTAGAAAATCCTAACGAACATCCTGTCATTAATGACACATGTACACAAAAATATTTGGTGGAATTGACAAAGTACAGAAAGGCATTATGGGAAAAAGGTATGTTAGCACAACGGCCTCCTTTAGATTTTATCTTACACCAGGTACAGCCAGGAGATTGGGTGCTCGTGAAAAGCTGGAAAGAAAACCCCTTGACTCCAAGGTGGGAAGGACTGTTCCAAGTACTCCTCAGCACAGAAGCAGCCATACGAACCGCTGAAAAAGGATGGACTCATGCTAGTCGCATAAAAGGACCGGTAAAACCCCCTCACAGCTGGGAGGTTTGCAGTCTCCCGAGAGAAACCAAATTAAAGCTGAAACGAACTGATAAATGATTTGGATAGTAATCTGGGTTGGAGATAACCATTATCTCCAAACCCAGCTAATAGGGAATCGGGAGGCTCTTGGATATTGCAAACTCTTAGAGGACGAGTTAAGAAAGCCCTACTTTAAGTCCCCGAGATTAGAACATAAAGGGCACCCATGGAAGGGGGAAAAAGCACAAAACAAAGATATAAGGTTAAAGTGTAACTGGTTAGATTGTGACTGTCACCCCCTTGTATGCTTTTCCTGTAAATTGTGTCATGAACCTTGGTGGTCTCATTGTCGGAGTGGTAGAACACCTAGGGGAATTTTCACGCCGTGCTATGAGAAAGAGAGGAGACTAACTTCTATCATTCCTAGTAGCAGAGTTGCTACGGGGGAGGTAAAGCTTGGATCTGACGAGTGGTGGGAAACCTTTTCCAAAGGGGTAAATCCTGATCGGTTCTGCTACCACCCTAACGAACCGATCCCCTTTCTCCTGGACATCCTGGAAGTGGTGTGTCAGAAGAAAGCCCCCAATTTGTGGCGTGACCTCTCATTAATAAAAGCTAATAACTGGGCCGCCAGTGCTAAAAAGTGGAAATGGGAGGTTTATCCGGCTCCTGAAGAATACCTCTGCTGCCGAGAAGATGGTAAACCCCGAGGCTCGCAGCAACCGAGTCGTCGGGCGAGGCAGAGAGGTAATAACCAGTGGAGTCCGTCGGAAGCCTCGACCCCCATATGGGATGTCCAGGAAATGTTGGCCGTCCTGCCCCAGGATTGGTAACCCACCACTGGGGAAACCAAAGGTAAAATTTAACCTGAGCTCCGACAATGACAGCCCCAAATTACAAGCCTTAATTCTTTTCTGGTGCATTGTAACAAGTTCAGGGGCAGAAGGGTATTCACATCAACCCTTCAAATGGTCACTGATTAGATGGGAAGACCAGTATGTTATCCAGACCAAAATCACGTCTGGCGCACCCAGGTTTTTATGTACTTTGTGTGATTTAATACCTGTAAATCCATGTTTAAATCAGTTTGGATATTATTTTTGTCCAAGCTCAAACCCAGGAAAAGGGTATTGTAACTATCCAGGACACTTTTACTGTGCTTATTGGGACTGTGTATCAGTAAGCTCCTTTGGGGGGAACGAGGACGGGTTTATCAGAACTGGATGGGGTCCATACGGGTGTACACAGCCCACTTCCACATATACCCAGAAAGAAGGAGGGTTAGATGGAACATGCAATATGATTTACATTAATGTGACAAAACCACATGACCAAGTCTGGTTATTAGGGAAAATGTGGGGAGCCCGATTATGGAACCAGGGACAGACAGAGGGGGGCACTTTATAATCCAAAAGACAACCGTGCCACACAACCCCGAACCAATTGGACCAAACCAGGCGATAGCTGGAGAACTAACGCTAGGAGAAAATAATGGAAATGAATCAGAAACAGCCCCAACCACTAGTCTTCCAGAAATGTATAAGCAAAACTTTGCTAATTCGACCCGAGGACCTGAAAACCCGGGAGAAGGGGACTTGTGGAAAATATTACAGGCCACTTTCCTAGTCCTGAATGAGACCCATCCAAATCTAACTGAGGAATGTTGGCTGTGTTACACCGTAAACCCCCCGTTCTATGAAGCCATAGGGGTAACAGCAAAAAAGCAGACGAGTAAATGGGACCAACCCAGCTAGGTGCCTATGGAAAAAAGAAGGAGAAGAATCGAGAGGGATAACCTTGGCAAGGGTAATGGGGAGAGGAAGATGTATAGGACGAGTACCAGTGGAAAAACGACATCTATGTCAGGTTATGGGGAATTTGAGTGACCCTAAGAAACCTGCCAGCTGGATACTGCCAGCAGCAAATACTAAATGGGTCTGTAACACTCTCGGAGTCACCCCATGTATAAATATAGACCGATTTAATGAATCCAGTGACTTTTGTATTCAAGTATTGATAGTACCCAGAGTCCTTTACCACCCCGTAGAATACATTTATGAACAATATCAAAATATAGGACCCCACATAGTGAAACGGGAAATATTCACAACCTTCACTGTGGCAATGTTACTAGGAATAGGTGCAGCCGGGACAGGAACAGGAATAGCCTCACTCATACAGCAACACCGAGGATTCCAAGAACTAAGAGCCTCTGTAGATGAAGACCTCACAGAATCATTAGATTCCCTAGCAGAGGTAGCCTTACAAAATCGAAGGGGGTTAAATCTATTATTCCTGCAACAAGGAGGACTATGTGCTGCTTTAAGAGAAGAATGCTGCACATATGTAAACAAGAGCGGAATTATACGGGACTCAATGGCAAAACTAAGGGAGGGGCTAGAAAGAAGACAAAGAGAAAGGGAAAAACACCAAAGCTGGTATGAATCTTGGTTTAACTATTCTCCTTGGCTTACAACTTTATTATCAACGATAGCGGGTCCACTACTTCTCTTACTATTGGGACTCACGTTTGGCCCTTGTATTTTTAATAAATTGATTAGCATTGTAAAAGGCAGATTAGAAGCTGCTCACCTTATGCTCATACGAGCAAAATACGAAACCTTGAAGATGGATGATCCAGAAGAATCTCTGGAGCTCAGCAAAAGGGAATTAGAGCGTTTTGACGAACAAAATTGAGTATCAAAACAAAGGGGGGATTGAGATGAGGGATTACATTTTGTTCGTCACGAAAAAGAGACCAGTGTGTTACAAGAGTTGTCTGCTGACTATTTCTGTACTACTTCATGAGATATGAGCTACAAGGATACCAGGGAAGGGGTTGCAGGAGCCCACACATAGTCCCACCCAGCAAATGGTACAGATAACTCACAGAAATAACGACCAGGGAAAGGCTGGGGAAAGGGTAGGGGCAGATTAACACCCAGCAGGGAAACCTTTCCTGCTGACAAATGGTACAAGCAGATAACTCACAGAGATAACGACCAGGGAAAAGCTGGGGAAGGGGCAGGGGCAGATAAACAGTCTGCAAGGCAGGATATTTGCTTGCTTAAGCTTGATAGGGCACATATTGCGTTAATCATAAGATTTTGGTAATTTTCCACAGAGAAGTCACCAAATAAAGACATAGGGTGAAGAAGACGCAGCTGAGGAAGACTCCGCAGCCTTTTATCACCGACCACCAGGAGACAGAAGGATGACCCTCTAGCAACAACCAGCACAGGCGCAGAGAACTCCGAGATAACATGGACTCCTGAAGGATGGAGAGGATAAAAGGACTGAATCAGAAACTAGTTGGCGCGGCAGTAGGTGGAGCGGAGACTCCCCTGTCGCCCAGCGCTGAGCCTTTGCTTACGTAGTATAACTGCTTCAATAATTAATAAATTCTTTGATTGGAAATTACTCGTTTTGAGTCAATTTTATAACACTGCTGAGGCTGCCAAGACCTCTGAAACAACTGGCCACTTTCCTTCTCTGTGCTAATGCCCGTAGTTCTGCTGTGCTGGCAGAAACCTCCGTAACTGCCCAAGAGCAGCATGCATTGTCACTAGAACGTGCTGCTGTCGATTCAGAGGGCAGAGAGATGCAGTGCTGCAGAGGTGCTCTGCTGCTCTGCCATGCCCTGCTGACCCGGCTGAGACCCCAGAAGTGGTGCTTGGTAGCGACAGGAAGGTGCGTTGCTGCTGCAGCCACTGCGAGGCACCCAACCGCCGCTGCTGCAAGATGCCTTGCACCTGTGGGATGGTGCATGGCCGCAAAGCAGGGGTTGCTACCGCTCCACCATACCCTGCCACCCTGGCTGAGATAACAGAAGCGGCACCCAGCCCCAGAGAGATTCCAGATCCTCTGTGCCATGAAGCACTGGTTGAAATCCCTGTATCTGTCTCTGCCCGCAGCAAAGCTACCTCTCTGTGCTTTGCTGTGCTTGAAAACACCCCTACATACGTACCTAGCAGCAGCAAGACTGTGCCTGGCCCTGGCACAACGGGGCCCAGCCCCTGTTGGGGCACACCTGGCTGCAGAACTACTCCTGGCTGCTATAGAGCTGCCCAAGCCTGCTGCCAGGTGCGCCACCAAGCCCTGCCTGCGGCGGAGCCAAGCTCTGTGGCTGTCACAAGCACGTATTCTTAGACAGCGCTTAGTTGTGCTGATTGCACGGTTCCCGTGGCAATGGAGAAATTCATAGTTCCAGCAACGCCTGCAAAGACCCCAAGCACACCAGAACTGCTTCCTCCCAGACCTGAGTCCCAGCCAAACATCACGCCCGGAAGCAGCAGAGAGTCCGGGAATCCCCAGATTGCCACTGCCACTGCCAAGAGTTCACCAGAGCTGGAGCTGGCCATTGAATGTATGCCAGCAAGGGACACTGGCAGAGACTCCGAACAGCCCATCCATCTGCGGGACACCGCGATAACACCGCCTTTGCCTTACTGCCACAAACATCGTTCGATCCAGTGTCTGTTTTGCAGAAGATAAAACAAGTCGCTATTGCAGATAGGGACTTCGAAGGGGCAGAACTCATTAATGTGCCTATGTCTGGGGGCTGGGAGCCAGAGGATGGGACATTAGCAGTTTTCCCCATGGTAAGAGGCAGTAGAACTGCTCTAGATAAGTACGTCCCTTTCCAGTGGCCAGTTCTTTCCAAGCTGTGCCAGCTTGTTACCAAACACGGTTTAGGTTCGCCTGCTGTTGCTAATATGGTACATTTCTTAACAACAGAGGCGGTAACTCCATTTGATATAAAGCAGCTTGTTAAATTAATGTTTTCAACAGTCCAATATATGGTGTTTGAATCTGCATGGAAAAGCAGTGCAGAAAAACAGCAATTAAAAAATCTAGATTTTCCTAAATGAAGATCCACGTTATGAGGCAGGGGTCTCAGCTCCTGGAGCTGCCACCAGTGGGTGATCCACAACTCCAGGCTAGGCTACACCCACTGGTGCTAGCACAGGTCAAAGAACTAGGTACGCAAGCTTTATTTAAGGTAGCAAATATGGCAAATCCGACCCAAACATATTCAAAGATTAAGCAGGGAGTTAATGAACCATATCTGCAGTTAGAGAGATGGCAAGATGCAATGCAGAAACAAATTGTTAATGTAGAGATCAAAAATCACCTAATTTTACAGTTAGCAAAAGATAACACCAACGAAGACTGCAGAAAAATCTTAGAACTATTACCCAAGGAAAATCCATCACTAAATGAATTCATAAATGCCTGTGCTAAAGTAGGTTCTCATTCCCACAATGTGACCTTACTAGGCAACTCAATAGGGCTGCTGTAAGTGTCACCTCAGTATTGTAAATATAAACAACAAGGCCATCTGAAAACAAATAGTTCCTGTAAACCCATCTTAACAGGGACAAATCCTCTCAAGGACCAGGGAAACAAATGACTCAGGTGAGGAGGGGATGCACAAAGACAAAAGCATTTCCTCACCTTCCTGTGAAGGCTCATGTGATCAGCACACAGGAAGGACTCAAGAAGCAGCTGGAATGGATGTATTCACATCTGACACAGTAACCATATGCAACCCAAAGGTGCCTAAGATTCCTGTTGAAGCACAAGGACCTATCGGGAAAGGATTAAGTGCACTATTGACTGGAAGGTCTAGTGATACAATGGAAGGTATCTTTGGGTACCCTGGTGTTATTGACTCAACCTTTAATGGACAAATATATGCTATGATTTCTACTATTGCTGGCCAGGGGCTATGTACAAATCACAAACAGGACGGGCCTGCAAGGAATGTGCCTTGAGCTGTTTTATTTTCCAGCATCAGTGTCATTACTGGTTACGACAATGGGAAGATGCCAGCAGCTCACATCCCAGGCAGCAGACCAAGAACTTAATGTTACAACTTACTTTATAAGCTTTTTGACCAATCACACAAAGCAAAAGCATATTGACAGTAGTTATATCCAACCACTATAAGCACACATACCTTCAGTTAAAACAATGCTTGCTTATTTTGAATACAATACCTACTTGTAAGCCTTAAACCACAATGCACAGACCTCCATTATTAAGCTTAGAACTTCCTAATATCTTGCTAGATATACATTTCTGTAGATTAGGGAGTTATTCTAGAGAAGCATTACTACACAGAGCATTGTTCTATTTGTCCTTACTTTTCTACTTTTTACTGCTGACCTATCTCATGGCTACTGCTTAGCTCTAATCACAGTTCTGGTGTCGCTGAGGCCTGCCTTTTGCAGCTTTCCCAAAACACTCTGATTTATGATTCCCACATTGCCCCAAGGAGGCTTTATTGCCCCAAGCAGGATTTATTGCCCAAAGCAGGATAATTTCACACCAGAAGTGAAGCATTATGAATATTTGTGGTTCTTGCCTTTAAAACATTGGAAAATGGGAAATGGATACATTAGCAAGAGCTGTGGGGTGGGTGGGAGCAGCAGGAGGAGCTCTGCTGGCAGCTCTCGGCTTTCCTGGGAAGAGGGAAGGGGCAGGATCCAGCTCCATGGATCGCTCAGGCAGTGATTCCTGCCAGGATGAGAGAGGGTCACGGTGTTACCCTGTCCCCATTCCACAGGATGGATGTGGCTGGAGTCCATGGAGAGCAGGAGCTGCTCTGGAATCCCACGTGATCCCACACCAATCCTGCTGCAATCCTGCTCCATCCATCCCACCTGTTCCCACTCCATCTATTCTGCCCCAGCCCTGCTCCATCCATCCCACCCCATTCCAGCCCATCCATCCTGCCCCAGTCCTTCTCTGGAACCCCAACCAGATCCTGCTCCATTCCATCCCACCTGATTGTTGTCTGGAATCCAGCCCTGATCCCATTCCATCCCTCCCACACCAATCCTGCTCCATCTATCCCTCCTGATCCCACTCCACAATCCAGCCCAAATCCCACTCTACAATTCCACCTGATCCCACTCTGGACCCTGCTCTGATCCAGAATCCTTCCTTGATCCCAGTCCATCCATCCTGCCCTGATCCTTCTCTGGAATCCCACCCTGATCCTGCTCCGTACCTGTGCTCAAGCCATTGGTTCTCACATCTTTTCCTGCAGAAAGAGAAGATCCATGAGATTCCAGCACGGATCACACATTGGGATTAACCCCAGGATCCATCCTGGGATCCACACAGAGGGGATCCAGAGCTGGATCCGCCATTGGAACTCACTGGCTGCCGGGTTGTATCCATTCCTGTCCCTCCTCCCTGTGGAAACAAAGTGGGATCAGCATCAGTGGCACAGGATTCCCAGAACGGTGCTGGGTGGATCCGTGTCCCTTCCCGACCCCCATCCCGTGTGTTACCGGATTGGAGCTTCCAGACACTGAGTCCGATGAAGATGAGGATGGCAGCGATGACAGACACAGCGACCACCATGGAGAGATTCCCGCCAGATGTCGGCTCTGGGAAACACAGGATAGTGAGGAGGGGAAGGGGAATGCCCAATTAGGAATTCCAAATTCCCAATCCCCACATTCCCAGCCTCACCCTAAGCGAAGATCCTGGGCTCTGGCATTCCGGGATGCTCCACCCTGCACCGGTACTGCTCCCGCTCCTCCAGCAGCGCCTCGATCCTGGCCCAGGTGTGGAAGGTGCCGTCGCTGTTGGGAACGATCCCGCCCCACTCCGTCTCCTGATCCAAGGTTTCACTCCCCTTCATCCAGCTGACTGTGATGGTGTTGGGGTAGAATCCGTACACGTGGCAGGATAGGATCAGCATCCCGTGTTCCTCTCTTCTGGACACATGGACATCAGGGGACTCTGGAATGGAATAATGGTGAGGAACATCCATGGAATTCCCATTGGAATGGGATGAGAGTGAGATCTGCCCACGGAATTCCCACTGGAATGGGATGGAGATGAGATCTGCCTATGGAATTCCATGGGAATGGGATGGGGGCGAGATCTGCTCATGAAATTCCATGGGAATTGGATGGGGGTGAAATCTGACTGTGGAATTCCATGGGAATGCAATGAGAGTGACATCTACTCATGGAATTCCTACAGGAATGTGATTGGGGTGAGATCTGACCATGGAATTCTATGGGAATGGGATGGAGATAAGATCTATCCATAGAATTTCCACAGGAATTACCATGTTCCCAAGTCCTCCATTCCCAAATCCCAAATCCCCACAGGAATTCTGCTCCCACCTTTGCGCTCCAGCTCCTTCTGCCCGTACCCGACGTATTTCCGGAGCCATTCTGGGCATTCGTGCTTCAGGCAATTCGTCCGTGCCTCAGCCACGGTCCCATCCTGTTCCCAGCGCCTCCTGGTGATCTCAGCAGCGCTGTCGGCCGCCACAAATCTCCCAGATCCCAGGTCAAAGGAGATGAAATCCCGTCCATCGTAGCTGTGCCACTCAGATCCACGAACACTCCCATCGGACAGGAGATCACAGCCACGAACTATCAAATTTGTGTGGAGACCTGGGGGGATTGTACCCACAGAGACCCATGGAATTGCATCCCAGCCCCACAGAGCCCCATTCCAGCCCCTTGGAGTCCCATGGCTCCACATCCCAACCCCATGGATCCCAACCCAAGCCCATGGATCCCATCCTAGCCCCATGGATCCACATCCCAGTTGCATGGACCCAATCCCAGCCCCATGGATCACAAGCTATCCCATCTCAGCCTAATGGACCCCCATTTCAGCCCCTCAGAGCCCCATGACCTGTAGATCCCATCCCAGCCCTATGGATGCTCACCTCAGCCCTACAGTTCCCCTCCCAACCCTACAGATCCAATCCCAGCCCCATGGATCCACATTCCAGCCCTGCAGTTCCTATCCTTGCGCCACAGATCCCATTCCAGCCCCATGGATCCAATCCCAGCCCTACAGTTTCCATCCCAGCCCCATAGGCCCCATTCCAGCCCCACAGGTCCCATTCCAGCCCCACAGATCCCCATCTCACCCCTACAGTTTTTATCTCAGCCCCACACATCCCCTCCCAACCCCATGGATCACAAGCTATCCCATACCAGCCTAATGGATCCCCATTTCAGCCCCTTGGAGCCCTGTGAATCCACATTGGAGACCTATAGATCCCATCCCAGCCCCACAGTTCCCATCTCAGCCCCTTGGATCCCCATCCAAGCCCTACAGTTTCTATCCTAGCCCCACAGTTCCCATCTCAGCCCCATGGACCCATATCCCAGCCCTACAGATCCAATTCCAGCCCCATGGACCCATATCCCAACCCATGGATCACAAGATATACCATCCCAACCTAATGGATCCCTGTTTTCAGCCCCTTGGAGCCCTGTGAGTCCATCTCTGAGACCTACAGTTCCCATCCCAGCCCCATGGATCCCCACCCCAGCCCCACAGTTCGCATTCCAGCCCCACAGATCCCAATCCAAGCCCACAGATCCCATCCCAGCCTAATGAATCCCTGTTTCAGCCTCTTGGAGCCCTGTGAATGCACACCTAAGACTTACAGATCCTCATCCAAGCCCTATGGATCCTCAACCCAGCCCTACAGTTCCCATTCCAGCCCCATGGATCCCAACCCAAGCCCACAGATCCCATCCCAGCTCCATGGATCCACATCCCAACCCAATGGATGACAAGCTATCCCATCCCAGCCCAATGGATCCCCATTTTCAGCCACCTGGAGCCTTGTGAGTCCATGTCTGAGACTTATAGATCCCATCCCAGCCCATATGTCCCATCCCACCCCCCCAAATGCCATCCCAGCCCCACAGCTCCCCCCACTCACCCCTGCTCTGGTTGTACCACTCCCGCAGTACATCCAGGTGCCCAGCAGCCACCTGCTGGTTCCTCACATTGATCTGGGTCTCCCTGTCCCAATATTCCTCCTCGACTCCATCCTTTATCCACTGCGTCAGTGGCTCCACCCGGCCCCGCTCGCTGTCGTAGCGCACGAAGGGGATCCCATCCAGGTACCCAATATCCATGAACTGGGGGATCCCCGGGCTGGGCTCTGACACCGCCACTTGCAGATAGTGCAGGGAGTGGAGAACTGGGGGGACACAGAGATTTGGGGGGATTGAGGAGATCATGGAACAATGAAAGGGGAACTGGGAGAGCTGGGAAGGGGTTTGGGGATCCTGGGGCCGAGGAAAGGGTGTGCAGGGTGGGAGAGGTGGGATGGACAGGAAAGGGCCTGCAGGGGGTCCTGGTGTCCAGGAATGGGGGCTCAGGGGGTTCCAGGGTTATGGAAGGGGTGAGGGGTGCAGGGACAGGGAGAGGCCGGATGGGAGTTCCAGGGGATCACTGTCCACAGGAAAGGGGGTCCAGGGGTCCTCAGTGCCAAGGAAAGGGGTCACAAGGTGGGACCTTGTGAGCCTCAGAATGGGAGGCTGGGGGACCTTGAAGCAGAGGAAAGGGGGGGCTGGGGGCTGAGAAAAGCAGGAACGGGGTCCAGATGATCTCAGAGACAAGGAAAAGGGGGACTGGGGAAGGAAGGATGGATGGGAAATGGGGTGCAGGGTGATTGGTACTGGATAAGAGGGTGCAGGGAGGTCCCAGTGCCCAGAACTGGAAATTCAGGGGGTTTCCAGGGCCCAGAATCCCTCCTTGGACCTTCCTGGACCCCCTGGGACCCCCTGCAGGACAAGCAGGGGGTGAAGAACTGGGGGGATGCAGAGACCGGGGGGTCTGGGGGCATCTAGGAGGCAGGAACTGGAACCAGGAGAGTCGGGAAGGGTCCAAGGCTCAAGGAAGGGACTGGGAGAGGCAGGATAAGGGATCCAGGGGGTCCCTGGGTCATGGGAAAGGGGGGTCTGGGGCTGAGAGAGGCGGGCGGATCCCGGGGATGCAGCTTGGGAGACAGGAAAGAGACCGAGGGAATGCGGGGGGGAGGGGATGGACGGAAAGGGGGAATTCCAGGGAGTTCATCTGGATCCCTCTGGATCCCCGCTGCGACCCCCGTGAGACCCCTGGGACCCTATGGGACCCAGTTTCGGGAAGCGACGGGAGTGGAAAATGGGGGGGACACGGAAAGCTGGGAGATCTGGGAGGTCCAAAGACCAAACGGTCTGGGATCTGGGAAAAGCGGGATGCTCGAAAAGGGGGAGCAGGAGGGTCCCAGAGCACTGACAGGGGTGTGGGGGATCGCAGTCCCAGATAAGGGGGTGCAGGGGGGTCCCAGTGTCCCGAAATGGAGATTCTGGGGTGTTCCAGTGCCCAGGAATGGGGGTTCAGGGGAGTTCCCGTGCCGAGATTCGGGATTCAAAGGGATCCCGAACCCCAGGAATGGGAGATCCGGTGGGTCCCGCGGCCAGAGAAGCGGGTGCAGGGGGAGGTCCTACTGCCATGAAAACGTTCACGGGGTCCCCGTGCCCAGGAACGGGGGTTCAGGGGGGGTCAGAGTTCTAGGGAAGGGGATGGGGGGGGATCACAGGACCCAAAATGCAGGTTCAGGGGTATTCCCCTGCCCGAGAATGGAGTTTTAGGGAGGTTCCGATTCCCGGAAATGGAAATTCAGGGGGTTACCAGTGCCCAGAAATTGCGGTTCAGGGAGTTCCCGGTTTCGGGGTTCCCACTCACCTTTGGTCATGCCCCCCGCGTCCCCCAGGAGCCCCAAGAGCAGCCCCAGACCCAGCGCTGGAGCCACGGCGCTGCTCCGCTGCGGCCCCGCCCACAGCCCAGTCCAACCCAGCCCCCAGAGCCGCCTCCGGCCTTGCCATTGGCGCCGCTATTTCTTTTCTGCCAATGGCAGCCCGATCTGTCAGTGACGTCATCGATCGCCGGGCTGATCCCGGTCTCGCAGGTTGGGACGCGGAAGCGAAAGGGACCGAGGAGGGCGGGGAGGGGACGGGGGAATTCCAGAGAATCCCTCAGGATCCCCGCTGCGACCACCCTGGAGCCCTCGGAGAAGCACCTGGAACCCCCTGGGACCCCCTTAAGAAAGTGCCGGGAGTGGAGAATTGAGGGGATCGGGAAATTTGGGAGATCTGGGGTGCAAAGGTGAAGGAAAAGGGCGGGTCTGCGGTCTGGGAAGGGCGGGAGGGCCGGGGAGGGGTGCAGGGGGTCCCAGAACACGTGAGGGGGGGTCCAGGAGGGGTCCCAGTCCCGGATTAGGGAGTGCAGGGGGGGTCTCCATGCCCAGGAACGGAGGTTCAGGGGGTCCCAGGTCAAGGAAAGGGGGCTGAGGGCAATGGAAGTTCCAAGGGGTCCCTGTGCCCAGGAAAGGGGGTGCACGTGCCCCCAGTGTTGAGGAAGGTGGTGGGTGGGGGCTGGGGAAGGCAGGAATGGGGGTCCAGGGGGTGCCGCAGTCAAGGAAAAGCGGGGGCTGGGGTGTCAGAGGGGGAGGGCTGCGACAGGGGGTTTGGGGGGGGCATTGGGGCTGGATAAGGGGGTGCGGGGGGGTCCCTCTGCCTGAGAATGGAGGGTTTGGGAGGGTTCCAGTCCTGGATATGGGCGTGAACGGGCGTCCTGGTGCAGCGGAATGGGGGTTCAGGGGGTAACGGTTCTGCATAAGGGGATAGAGTGGGGTCCCGGTGCCCAGGAAATAGGGTTCCCGGGGTAGTACCTTCCCAGAAATCGGGATTCAGGGGGGTCCCGGTGCCAGATGATGGCCTGGCTGAGATCCGGTGCTGTGGAAGCGGTGCAGGGGGTCCACGTTCACAGAAATGGGGGGCTCGAGGGGGTCCTGGTGCAGTGGAATGGAGGTTCAGGGGGCCTGGTGCCAGATAACGGGATGCCCAGGAAATGGGGTTCAGGGGGGTTCCCTTCCAGGATTTCGGGGTTCAAGGGGTCCTGGTGCCTGAAAATTGACGTTCAGAAGAATTCCAGTTCCTAGAAATGGGGGTTTGGGGGAGGGGTCCCGGTGCCCAGAAATGGGGGTTCAGGGCGGTTTCCGTGCCCGGGAATGGGGATTTAGGGGGTTCCAGTCTCCAGATAAGGGGTGCAGGGATTATCGGGGCTGGGGAAGGGGGTACAGGGAGGCTCCCAGTGCCCCAAAATTAGCGTTCAAGGCGGTCTCTGTGCCCAGGAAGGGGGGTTCGCCTGGAAATGGAAGTTCGGGGGGTCCCCGTGCCCAGGAATTGCGGTTCAGGGGGGTCCCGGTGCCGGGGCAGTCCCCGGTCCCCGGGCGGGTCCCGGTGCCGCAGCTTGGGAGACGCGAAAGTGACCGGGGCAGCGCAGGGAGGGAGAGGGGACAGAGCAAACCCTGGGAATTCCCCTGAACCCCCCCGGGACCTGCCAGGACCCCCCAGAGGACGCGCAGGGGGTGGAGAACTGGGGGCACGCAGAGATTGGGCGGTCTGGGGGCGTCCAAGGGCTGGGAAGCGGAACCGGGAGAGCCGGGAAGGGTCCAAGGTTCCAGGAAGGGACTGTGAGAGGCGAGATGGGGGATCCAGGGGGTCCCTGTGCCCACCAAAGGGGGTCCAGGAGTCTCCAGTGTTGAGGGAAGTGGGGTCTGGGAGCTGGGAAAGGCAGGAATGGGGCTCCAGGGGGTCCCTGGGTCACGGAAAGGGGGCTCTGGGGCTGGGAGAGGTGGGTGGATAAGGGGACGCAGCTTGGGAGACGGAAAAGTGAGACGGGGAAAAGGGGAATTCCAGGAAATTCATCTGGATCCCACTGGATCCTCACTGGGACCCCCGGGAGACCCTCCGGGACCCCCTGGAACCCCTTCCAGGAAGCGCTGGGAATGGAGAATGGGGCGATGCAGAAATTTGGGAGATCTGGGGGTGCAAAAGCCGAGGAAAAGGCCGGGTCTGGGGTCTGGGAAGGGCGGGATGGCCAGGAATGGGGGTGCAGGGAGTCCCAGAGCACTGACGGGGTGCGGGAAATCCCAGTCCTGGATAAGGGGGGGCAGGGGCGTCCCAGTGCCCAGAAATGGGGCTTCCCGTGCCAGGGAATGCGGGTTCAGGGGGAGTTTCCTTCCCGGAATTCGGGGTTCGAGGGGGTCCCAGTATCTGGAATGGCGGTTCCAGGGGCACCGGTGACCAGAAATGGGGGTTCAGGGGGGGTTCAGGGGGGTCCTGGTGCCAGATGAGGGGGTACAAGGGGGTCCTGGTGCTGGGGAAGGGGATTGAGGGGGGTCACAGGACCCAAAATGGGGGTATGGGTGGGTTTCCCTGACTGGGAATGGAGGTTTAGGAGGTTCCTGGTGCCCAGAAATGTAACTCCTTCTCTCTCTCTCTGCTGTTCTCTCCCTTTCCTTTCGCAGATCATAAATCCCAGAGCCATGCCCAGGCCTGGTTTCCCAGCAAAGGGAGGCCTGGGGCTGAGGTGCCCTGGGCTGGCCGGGAATGGGGGCCCGGGTGTCCTCGGGGTCACGGAAACGGGGGATCCAGGGGCTGGGAGAGGAGGATACCTGGGAAAGGGGGTGCAGGGGGTGTTGGTGCAGGAAAAGCGGGTGCAGGGGGATCCCAGTGCCCAGGAATGATGAGGGGGGACGACAGGATCTGGGAAACAGCAGCAGCTGCTGGGGAGGGACTGGAATGGACTGGGACAGACTGGGAAAAGAACCCACTGGGAGCAGAACTGAGGCACGAGGGATCATACTGGGATATACTGGGACCACACTGAGGGCTACTGGGAACATGCAGGGGACAATTGAGATATATACTGGGAGGAACTGGGAATGGTTTGGATAATCCTGGGACTGACTGGAATCATATTGGGAGTGATCAGATCTGTAGTAGGGGTGAAGAGGAGAAACTGGAATAATGCAGGGAACAGCTGGGATCATACTGGGAGCAGCTGGCCCATGCTGGGATCATACTGGGACTTACAGGGTCACACTTGGAGTGACTAGCATACTACTGGGAGTAACTGGGATCGTACTGGAGGTGACTGGACTTATACTGGGAGCAAGTGGGACCACAGCAGGGGCAAATGGCATCGGGTAAGGTGTGACTGGGCTCATACTGAAGTGACCTGGGGCCCCACTGGGCTCTTACTGAGAGGGACTGAGAGTGAAAGGAACCATACAGGGCATGACTGGGACCACTGGGACTGTGTTGGGGGGCAACTGCGATCCTACCGGGAGTGATTCTGAACATACTGGGAGCGACCGGGATCATCCAGGGGGTGACCGGGACCCACCGGTGAGGCGGCGGCGGAGCTGGGAGGCGGCCGCAACGCAGGTGGGAGGCGCGCTGGGTTGTGCGGGGGCTCGGGGCTCGCTGCGGGCCTCGGGGGCGGCAGGGGGCTCAGGCGGGTTCGTTGTGCCGTGTCCGGCGCGTGTTGCCGCTGGCGTGAGGGCGCTGCGGGAGCGGCTGCCCGCGGTCTCCTTGCGGCCGCTGCCCCGGTAGGAGCCGCTGCCAGAGCAGCGCTGGCTCGGCCCGGTTCCTGTGGCTGGGACAGAGGGGGCTGCCCCGTCCCCGGAGGCTGCGCTAAGCGGCCTCCGAGCTCCGCCGCCGCCTCACCAGGCTCCGGCCGCTGCCGCCCCTCCCGGGCCCGCACGGACGCTCCGCTAATGGCGGCTCTGCCGAGCCAGGGGCGCCCTCAGGGCGGCACCGAGGGCCGTGCTTATCCCGGCTCTGACCAGTCAGCGGCCAGAAGCAGAAGGGACGGCAGAATCAGCCAATCGCAGCGAGGGGCGAGCTCCGCACACGGCCCGGCCTCGTCTCCCTTTCCCCGAGCTCCGGCATTTCCCGGCAGCCGCGGCTGAGGAGCGCCGCTGGAGCTGGGCCCGGCCCGGGTAGGAGGCCAAGGAGCCGCTGCTACTGCCCCGAACCGCCGGGAGCTCGGCGTGACCGGGCCCTGAGGGCGCTGGGAGCTGGGGTGAGTGCGGGACGGAGGAGGGACCCACCTGCAGCCCCGGCAGGAGCCCAGGCCGGAGCAGGGGATGCTGGAGAGAGGCCAAAACCTTTCTGTCACTTCCCTCCTCACCCTGGGCAGGGAACAGCACGTAAGGAAAGGCTCGAGGGTCTGGGTAAGGGTTGGAAAAGTTCAATCACTGGTGTCGGGCGCAACACACTTGTCAGGAAAATTAATCCATAAACATCAGAGGTTTATGTTCAAAAAGGAGACAGAGGAGTCCTTTCACTTTATTCGAATAGAGGGAGAGGCCATGGGGCATTCCCCTGGGGTCTCTCCAGTTTTTGGAGGACGCAGCCTCCCTTTTTATCCCAGTTTCCCGGCCGCATTTCCCTTCTCTCTTTCCCCATTGGCTGAGGTACGTGAGAGGTTCAGGCTTTCCGATAGGCCTGATATTGAAGATTTTCCTCTAATGTATAACAGTCCCTTTTAATTTTTAATTCTTATGGTATTTAGGGTTTTCCCTCATTGTTTCTTTCATCTTTTAATGTTCAATTTCATTTATCAGCAAACTAAAGTTTGTTTGTAAAAGCAAATATATTTTCCCGTTCATCAATTAGTAGAATCTTTCCCATTGTTTCTTTTATCTCTCAGTGCTGGTTTGATCTACCAGCAGACCCACAGCCTGTTTGTAAGGACAAAATCCATCATTCCTCTCACACTTGACTTGGGGAAATCAATTGAATTTATTATCAGACATAGCAGGGCAAGAGAACGAGAACTGAAATAATTCCTACGGAAATATCCTCCCCCCACCTCTCTCTCCTTCCCGGGCTTAACTCCATCCTGCATTCTCTCCCTTCTCCCCATCCAGAGGCGCAGGGGATGGGGGTCAGAGCCCGGTCATGTCACAGCCTCCCCTCAGGGACAGGAATCCTCGTCCTGCTCCAGCCTGGGGTCCCTCCCACGGGACACGGTCCCTCGGGAACGGGCTGCTCCACGAGGATCCCCCCCGGGCTCACAGGTGCCGCCAGGAGCCGCTTCCATGGCTCTGCAGGGGCTTCCCAGGGGCTCGGGGCCTCTCTCGGGCATCCCCTGCCCGCGGTCTCCTTGCGGCCGCTGCCTCGGCAGGAGCCGCTGCCGGAGCAGCGCTGGCTCGGCCCGGTTCCTGTGGCTGGGACAGAGGCGGCTGCCCCGTGCCCGGGGCTGTGCGGGGAAATTCACATGGCCGGAGGTTTCTGTGCCCCGAGGAGACAGAGGAGTCCTGTAAAAGTGACTTTATTGCTGAGCAGAGGGAGAGGCGGTGCGGCATTTCCCAGGAGATCTTCAAAACGTAGCCTTGTTTTTTATCCTAATTGTCTGTCCACTTCTCCCTCTCCCTTTGCCCACTGGCTGAGGTACTTGGAAGGTACAAGGCTGCTCGATCTACCTACTGTATGTGCTCTTTACTATGCACCCCCCACCCTTTAGTATAACACCCTAAATTCATAACTGCATTAAGTCTTTGTTCTTCCCCTAAAGTTCAGGAATTTAGCTGGATCTTGGCTGAGCAGCAGTCCGTGTCAATTAGAACTCTTTTAAAACTCTACAAGTCTCCAGCCCAATCTCAAAGCAGATTCACACGATCCTTTTCTAACGACACATTCATTTTATTCCTTGCAATCCGTCCTCCTATTGTTTTTTTCAATACTTGTCTTTACAAATATTAATTGCCATTGACTCAATTTTTTTTTTCCTGAGTCCTCTTTCGTTTTGAGATTATTCTCAGTGCCCTCATTCCCTGTCCTTCTGTAGCCGTTTCTGGATCAGGAGGCCTGGCTACCACCTGCATCCTCTTGCTCAGCTGCTGAATGAGCTGCATTCTCAAGGTGTGGAGCATGGTAAAAAGATGAAAGTTGCTGTAGCACATCAGAGGAGAAACAGCATTAGTTAAATCCATGGTCTGCCAGGGAGCCTCAAAACCGTGTCCCATTCCCATCCTTTCCATGTTTGGACCAGTACATGAGTTGCTTTTTTATTTTCTTTGTTATCTGTTTCACCATTTTCCTTTGTCATCTATTTGCCAACAACAGTTTGAGTTATTTCATTTTCCACAAACTCCTCCTTTTTCTGCTAACAGATGATCTGATCCCATCCCATGGTGAAATGTTGTGTTCATCATTTCAGTGGATTGGTCAGCAGGAAGGTCAGGAGCTGGAGCTGTCTGGTTGGTTATTCCGAGGGCAGCTTGTAATCTAATGATGGCATTGAAATGAGAAATGGGTTCTGTGGCTCCTGATATGAATTGGTTTGGGTTCCCAGGGGCTGGTGCACGGTGTTGTAAGATTTGTTCTGGTGGGCGTTGATGTTTTTCCCATTGTTTGCACTGCCTCAGGAGCCAGGGATGCATCAATTGGCCGATTTTTTGTCATTTAAACATCAAATACTTGGATTCTCAGCTGCTTTCCTGAACTTGTGGTAGCAACAGCCGCCGTGCTGTAATGCACCCTGTATAACACTGACAGTGACAGCACATGTTGGAGTGGGCAGAGGGATGATTCCTCACCCACTTCTTTTAGTGAAGTTTTCCCAACATTCTCCATTTGCTGTTTCCCTTTGCAGCTTCGCCCGTTTCTGTTGCAGGGTCAGATATCCTCACCCTGGGCTCTGCCTTGAGCTGTGCAAATTCCATCAGTGCAAGCAGGCAGAGCTTGGGGTGAGGGACAGAGGGAATCAGCCCAATTCCTGCCCCAGGCAAGAGACCCAGGTACATTGTCCAGGCTTTGCCCAGCAGTGTTCATTTGCATTTCTAAAGCTCCTCTCCAGGCTGCCTGGAATGAAGCTTCTCTTCCAGGGCAGCCATCTGGTGAGTCATATGTGCCCCCCCCCCCCCCCCCCCCCACCAGAATCTGCTTTTTTTAAAAAAAAGTATTAACTATTTACGAGTTTAAAGTGTTAGGTTTAAAGCTGTTCAATTTTGCAAAATGAACATAAATGTGAACATGGAAAAACCCAGACCAAAAATTGATTCTCACACTTTTGTCTCAAACCTAACTGGCAATATAAAGTGGGCATACTACAAAATTTTTTTCTCTTGTTGTAATTTTGTCACTGAAACTGCAGGGAAAACAAAAGCTCTACAAGAATCTCTTTAGTCTTAGAGAGTCAAGGCATTACTTGATTTTGGCCAGGATGTGCAACAGAAATCATTTCTTTCACACATAGCCCGGGTGGGCAGAGAAAATCATTCCATGGCATGTGAGTTTTACTAGATTTTTCCTAAACTTTCTACAATCTGAACCAATCTAAATCCATTGGTTTAATGTTCATTGCTTCCAATTTGTGTAGTTTTTAGTATTTGGTTTCCTATTGGACCGGGATTTCATTGCCTCTGATGTGAATTCGGTCCACACTCCTGGATTTCCTTCTCAGCCTTTTCCAGACCAGGTGTCTCCAGCTGTGCCGGGGGCAGTGTCTGGGGTAGCTGTTGGTTGCTGTTTGCTGCTGGGCGTTCATGTTTTGTTGCTGGTCGTTATCTCTGTGGGTGTCTTTTGGGCTATTCCCAGTCTGTGGAGATGTTGAACTCATCTCTGTTGAGTGGTGTAACACCCCTTAAATAAAACCTTTAAAATTCCTTTCCCCAAGCCAAAGGCAAACCTTTGAGTAGAGAAACCTTTCTGAGCAGAGAAATAAGATTTAGAAGAAATAAACTTGGTGTATTTTCAGCAATGCAATCGCAGGCAGCCCAGTGTGTGGGTGTGAGTGAGCCCCAGAGTGGAATTGTGCCGTGGTGCTCCCCAGGAGCTGTGGCAGTGCAGGCCCAGCCAGCGCTGAAGCTGCAGCAGTGGCAGCAAGGCTTGGCCGCAGTGGCTGGAGGTGCCAGAGGAGGGTGGCCAGGATTTCCGAGGGTTTGAGCAGAGGATCTGTGGGCAGGCCCAGGGGCTTGGCCCGCTGTGGAGCCCTGGCTGCTGCTGCGTTGCCTTCAGGGCAGGCTCAGTGGCGGCTCCCATGGTCCTGCTGCAGGCGGGAAGTGCAAATCTCCGGGGCTTCAGAGCCCCTGAGGCCAGGCTGAGGGGTCCCCCCGTGTTCAGCTGTGCTGGCGGCTGTTTCTGGCCTCAGGGACACTTGGCATGAGCCCCTTGGCCACCAGTGGTGCTGCTTTGCACTGCTTAGGCAGGAGCCGATGTCCTGGCTGGGTGTTGGCAACAGCAAAGTCCCAGGGCAGGCTCTGTGCCAGCCCAGCTTCCTGTGGGAGAGATTTCACAAGAGACAGGATTCTGGCCACGGACTGCTTGAAACATACATCCTTTATCTCCACCCTGCACAAGGTGGAGAGTTACCAGGGTAAGGAATTCCAGACATCAATTCCAAGGGAGATAATTGAATATCTGCCCTGGGTTTGGTTCTTCTTCTTGCCATAGCCAATGGCAAAAGCTGTACCCACGGCATCTTGGTTTTTATCACCAGCTTCCAAAAGTGTTTCTTTATTTCTCCTGACCTGAGCTCAGGGGGTGCCAGGGGTTATGGAGGTCCCATTGCATTCCTGAAGCTGCCATAACCTCCTGAAGGATCTTTCGCGTAAAATTAGTTCTTCTTTCTGAGTCTATTGCTTCCACAATCCCTTCTCTATGAATTAATTATTTTAGAAATACCTTAATTAGTGATGCAGTGCTTGCTGAAGCAGTCAGAATTGCTTTTGCCCCTCTGTTATGTGCCATGGTGTCAGCAGAAGATATTGAAGCCTTCCTGCCCAGGGCATTTCAGTGCCAGGCTCTTACAAGCACCCACAGCTCCGCGGGTTGAGCTGAGCATGGGGCGGTGACCTGTGCTTTGTCTGATTCCCCTTCCTTAATAACAGCCTGTCTTGTAGCTCTTTTCCCTTCTGCTGCCCTTGCAGAGCCATCCAGAAACACATTTTCTCCCTCAGTCCAGGGATTGTCTCATCAATCTCTCCCAGCCTGGGTCTGGAGCTCTGTCCCTTGAGTGCAGTCCTGGGTTCCTTGCCAGCCCCTCTCCAGGCTGTTCAAACAGGAGGCTGGGTTAAACCCTTGCCCTGTCCTCAGTTCTGAATCCTCCTGTGCCACTGAACAAGTTTCATACTGTAATAACCGAGCCCTGCTCATCCATTTAGAGGCTCTTTTGGTTGTCAGAGCTTTAACTTGATGCCAGACTTGAACTCTAGGAGATCCTCCTGTTGTCATCAGTTTTCAGGCCTCAGTTTTCTGGCCTCAGTTTTCTGATGCATGTCTTCTAATATTTTCCTAGTAAGCACATTTTATTAAGTAATTGTCTTCCATCAAGAAGTTTCCATTTCCCTGATTTATCTTGTTCACTTCCTGTCTTGTTTAATTATTTTTTCTCGGCTTCCCTTAACTTTGGAATTTCCAGTTTTTCCTCGTTTGGAGTTAATATTAACATAACTCACTCAGCTCCACTTTCTGCTGCATCCTTGGCTTCGTCATCTGCCAAATTATTTCCTCTTATTTCTGGGGTCTTTCCCTTTTGGGGTTCCTTAATATGTACTATAGCTATGTCTTTTAGGTAATTTTAATGCCTCTAAAACCTCTGAAATAAGTTCCTCATGTACTAAACCTTTTCCTCTTGAATTAAGTAATCTTTTTCCTTTCCAAATTTTTAAAGGTATGTACTACGCTAAAGGCATACCTTCAATCAGTATATATGGTTCCTTTATTTTGTGTTAAATATTCTAGTGCTCTTTTTAAAGTATATAATTCACGAGTTTGAGCTTACTAGTTTAAGGTTAATTTCCCTTTTTCCATAGTTTGCATGTTTTTCCCATCAACTACTACATACCCTTTATTTTCTCCTTTTGCAAGGAGTTGTATCTCTGTTAGCTAATATAACTGCCAAAGGCCTATTTTGGGGTATCTCTGCTAGTATGCTTGTATTCCCTCTTTTTTTTTTCTTTTTTTTTTTCCTGTATCCAACTTACTGGTTTTCTGTCTCATCTTTCAAGATCTTATCTATTCATCTTTTGCCTCTGTTTTTCACTTTCACCAACAACCTAAATACCACTTTTCCTTCAACTAAACACACAAAAATAAAAAACCTTTTTCTCACACTACGTTCCATACAATACACCTCCCTCCAAGGAGATAGAGTGAAGCTTAAAATACACAATCTACATTACATATACTTTCATTTGTCTACATTCACTCGCTTCTATTTCTCATTCACTTCCACACATTCTTTCACATGCTCAGGACACAAAGTGGATCCCTGTTGACAGAGAATCGCGGCTCCCTGTGGCTCCCTCCCCTTGGCGTTGGCCTCTTGGTCTCAGTATCTCCCGGCCTCCTGGGAGGGCCCTGACTCTGCTGCCTCCGGTGCCCGTTCACCTGTGAGGCTGATTTGTGTCACTCACACTCTTTAGCCACAGCCCCCTCACACACCCAGGGTGACAATGGCCCGTTTGCAGGTCACACACGTTCTGCCACAGCCCCCACCCGCCCGGGGGGACAATGGCCCATTTGCAGGTCACCTATACCTTAAGCCACAGCCCCCACCCACCCAAGGGACAATGGCTTATTTGTGGGTCACACACACCTCTTTCCACAGCCCCCCCTTCCCACCAGCCGGGGAAGCTGAGGCTGATTTTGTGTGTGACTCACTCTCACACACAAACAAGACAACAATAAGGTACCTTTTACTTTCAAATCACCTATTACAAGTTTAGGTGTTTCTGGCTAGTACCAGTGCTCTTGGATATCCCTCAACCCAGCTGTGTTGGCCAACCCCAGGTGCTCTTGGGTGTAGGAGCGGCAGGGGGTAGGACGGTCAGGAAGAGATCTCTGCAGCCAGGCCCTGGAACTTGCGGTTTATTGCAGAGGGCCTGGGGGCAGGGCCCTGCTTGGAGCTGCCAGGCACAGCTTGGAGCAGGCCCGAGAGAAGAGAGGGGTAGAGAGGATGAGAGGGTAAGAGAGTAAAAGCGTAAGAGAGCAAAAGCGTAAGAGAGCGAGGTTCCCATTACAATACAATAAATCTTCTTCTGTGTTGAAAATTCTAATTCTCACTAACCAATCCAGTACAATATACAAATCCTAGAGCATTTACATACAGCCTATAAGAATCATTACATTACCATAATGTGTTTCCTTTTAAACCCTAAAAACTCCTCTTTGGGCCCCTTCTGCCAAGCTGGTAGGGTCTGCTCTGACCCTTGGACCTGTCTGCAAGCAGAGGGAATTGTTCTATCAAAAGGGGATTACCTTCAGCCAGCAATACCATTGTTTTCGAGTTGTTCAGTACCTGAGGTATCTCAAAGCTTGCTTTCATTTCAATCTCGCTTATAGTTTCTATATTCTCAAAATCTTTTGCCAGACAATCATATTTATAAGGCTTTCCTGTTTCATCTTCCCCAATACTTGGGCATTTTTTTATCCCTCAATCCAGCTGTGTTGTCCAATCCCAGATGCTCTTGAGCATATCCTCAATCCAGCAGAATTTTGCTCAACCTTGGATACTCTTGGAATGTTAATCCCTCAACCCAGCAGGTTTTTAGGGGCCCGTTTTGTCCCATTTCCTAGTGGATTGGCATAGGAGGAGCAGAAACAGGAGGCACTACAAGATTCCACTTCTCCCTGTATATGAAGTTTCCCTGCAGTCCCAGTAGCATTCTCCCCCGCCATGCAGCAGGTTACCAGGGAAGGGGAATCCACGATTTTCACGGTGCTGTATCTTGGTGTTTCCGAGCTTCATTGGGCTAATTGTTGTTGCTTTGGGTATTTTGGTGTGTGAATCTTTATATTTTGGAGGGGGGTATTGCTGAATCGTGATGTTTTAGAAGTTTTTAATCTGTGTCTTGAAGTTTGCAAGATTTTTGTGCTGAATCGTGGTGTTTTGGAGGTTCTTACATACACAAGATGCCCAATGACTTTCTGAAATAAACTTGGGCAAGGAAGAACTCCCAGTCCAAGATGCTCTCATTTTGTTTTTACCCATACCAGGATTTTTCATTCCCAGGGCGTGTCTGGATGGAGGAGGAGGAAAAGCCCTGGAGATTCCACACGAGGAGGGGCTGCAAACCCAGCCCAGGGAGCTGCAGGGAGGAAAGAGCCCCCCCTGAGCCAGGAAGGCGGCCGGAGATCCAGCCAGAGCTCAGAGCTGGTGGAGAAGCCTCATGGCAGGGAGAAGCCCCACAAGTGCTTGGAATGTGGGAAGGGTTTTAGTCGGAGCTCCAACCTGACCGAGCACCAGGTGATCCACACTGGGGAACAACCCTATGAGTGTGAGGAATGTGGGAAGCATTTTAGCTGGAGCTCCAGCCTGAGGCGGCACCAGGTGATCCACACTGGAGAGAGGCCCTTTGAGTGTGAGGAGTGTGGGAAGAGCTTCAGCCAGAGCTCCATCCTGATGCAACACCAGAGGATCCACACTGGGGAAAAGCCCTTTGAGTGTGGGGAATGTGGGAAGAGCTTCAGGCAGAGGGGCCAACTTAAACAACACCAGATGATCCACACTGGAGACCGGCCTTATGAGTGTGGAGAATGTGGGATGAGCTTCAGCCAGAAGGGCTACCTGATGCAACACCAGAGGATCCACACTGGAGGGAAGCCCTACGAGTGTGGCGAATGTGGGAAGAGCTTCAGCCAGAGCTCTGGCCTGAGGAAACATGAGAGGATCCACACTGGGGAAAAGCCCTATGAGTGTGGGGAGTGTGAGAAGAGCTTCAGCATGAAGTTCCAGCTGACAGAACACCAGAAGATCCACACTGGGGAAAAGCCCTACAAGTGTGGGGAATGTCCGAAGAGCTTCAGAGAAAGCTGGGCCCTGATACGGCACCAGGTGATCCACACAGGGGAACGGCCCTACACCTGCTTGGAATGTGGGAAGAGCTATGGGTGGCACTCGGACCTGAGAAAACACCAGCGCACCCACTCTGGGGAGAGGCCCTACGAGTGTCCTGAGTGTGGGAAGAGGTTTCAGATCAGCTCCAGTCTCCTTGTACATCAGCGGAGTCACACAGAGGAGAGGCCCTTCCGCTGCTCCGACTGCGGGAAGGGCTTCAAGCAAAACTGCAAACTCACCATCCACCGGCGCATCCACACTGGGGAGAGGCCGTACAAGTGTCCTGAGTGTGGGATGAGATTCTCCACGAGCTCAGTCTTGACCAAACACCAACGGAGGCGCCACTAATGGAAGCCCTGTGAATACCCCGAGTTCAGGAAGAGCTTCGTGCATTCCTCCAACTCCATCCCCCATGGGAGGATCCACATTGGATGGTCCCCAGTGACCCTCGTTGGGCAGAGCCATGATGATCCATGGTCCTGGTGTTCTGTGTTTGGAAGACACCTGGCTGGGTGGCTCCACATCTTCCTGGCTTCCCGTGGGCACATGGATGTATACAGGGGCAGGAACATCCATTGGGACGCAGACCAACAGGAATGGGAATTCCTTGGAGAGAGCAGATTTGTTGACTTCCACCTCCACCCCCATAAAATCTTTTGCATTCAATCCTATCTTCTGGTGGCATCAAGGAATATTGAATGGTCTTGGAGGTCTTTTCCAATTTCAGGGATGCCATGATTTTGATTTCCTATTGCCCAAAGGTGTCTTTGGCAGCCAAATGGTGAAAAAGTGGGGAAAAGACCAAGATTTTTGAGACAGTGGGGTGGAAACTCCACCAAAAAAAGGTTCTTCCCTCACACCAAGCACATAGGTCCTCTGCCAGCATGGACACAGAAATCCTTTTCTTTTGGCCTTGATTTTCTTTTCATTTATCTTCATCCCTTTAAAATATCTGATATTGGGGTAAAAATAAAGACATTGAATTAAGATATGCATGGGTCATGGTAGGATACAGACATGGAGAGCAACATGGGGACATATGGTCATGGATGGGAATGGGGACATGGGGCGACATGGGCATGGATGGAGATGTGGGGCCAATGATAAGGATGGAAACATTGTGGGGAGACAGCCATGGGTGAGGACACGGTGGGACATGGGCAGTGACAAGTGGGGACATGGCCATGGCCTGGGTCATGGGGGGAACTTGCAGGGGATGTGGGGGATGCTGGGTTGGAGGGGGTTGAGGGTTCCTGGGAGGGACCTGGGGCTTACTGAGGCCTTTGGGGACCCCAGGCCAAGTGGCTCTGGCTGTGCTGGGAGACCATGGGGGAGGTTCTGGGGCAGTTGCTCAAGGACCCCCTGAACTGGAGCCCCAGCCGGGCATTGGGCTCCTGGAAGGGAATGAACATCTTTGTCCCCAGGAAGAAAATCCCAGCCCCCCCAGGGTGTCAGGGGCAGCTGAGAGGCCACAACAGGGAGGGGAAAGCCAGATAGAGCTGTCACACTTCTAAGCTACACCCCAAAAGTCCCAAAACTGAGGGATTCCTCCCAGGAAAAAGCATCCAAGAGCTGCCATAATTGAGGGAAAGGGGAGATGGGCCCCCCAGACTGAGTAGGAGGGGCCTGCAACCCCCAAAACCAAGCACAGAGGCAAGGGTTGGGGCTGATGAGATGTTGGGGAAAAGGTAGAAGAGCCTGGAAAAGAAGATTCTGAGAGAGCGGGAGAGGGATGGGACCCCCAGATTGAGTTTGGAGGGGTCTCTGGGTTGGGGGAATGATTTGAGATGGGAGGGAAAGTTGGGGATGGCAGAGAAAAAGGGCAGTTCCATGGGGATCCCTTTGTGTCTCCATCACTCAATCCCTGGAGTAATTCCCTGAAGCTCTGGGGGGGAATGGATCTGCACTGGGCAGATCCCCAAGCTTCCTGCCCATCCCTGGGGGGCTCATGGGGGGTTCCTTCCACCTAAAAGCTGGTGGTGCTGTGACTGTGGGGGAGGGGTGGTGGGGAAAAAGGGTCTGGGGTGGGCAGGGAGGAGGAGCAAGAGGAAGAGGAGGGAGAGATGATGAGGAGGAGGAAAAGGAGGAGCAGGAAAAGGACCAGGAAGAGGAGGAGCAGGAGGAGAACCATGCAGTTCCCCACCCACTGAGTCTGCAGCTCCCCCTGGTCCTGGCAGCATCGATCCCCCCTCCACATCCTGCAGGTGAGCAGGGAGGGGGAGCTCATCCCACATCTCTCAGGAAGTGTCCAGGAGGGCTTTTTGCAAGGGAGGGGATGTTTGGATCTCACAGAACCCATCAGCTGAGCCACAAATGCACCTTGGAGGGGTCTTGGAGGACCCACATGGTGATTGCCTGGTACCAGCAGGGCTAGGGGTGTGACGTCGGTTTTGGGGCTCACTGGGAGTAAGGAGAGCAAGGAGGAACAATCCTGGAGCTGGGGGATCCCAGCAGCCTGGAGGGGTGGGGGAGGCTGGAGATGAGTAGGGTCTGGGCCTGCCGACAGTGAATGGGGCAGTGACTTCTGGAGCTGGACTTGATGAACAAGGTGCTAACACATTGTTTTTCCCCCAAGTCAAGATTTGTCAATCCCAAACTTTGTCCAGATGGAGAAGGAGGAGGAGGCTGCGAGAAAAAGGAAGATGGCATGGGACACTGAGGCAGGTGAGGAGGAAGTCACTGCCACTTTCCCCCCACTCCTCTGCTTTATGTCCCAGCCCAGGATCACCCTCAGCTGCAGGACAACCCCCCCCCCACCTCAGCTGCAGGACAATCCCCCCTTCTATCCTGATCGGGATACACTGGGTGGATCTCCTTCCCCGTCCCTCCGGTACAGTGGTAAATCCCATCTTTTCCTTTTCCCACCCTCCTTCCTCTCCTCATTCTGTCCTTTTTCCTTCTTCATTCCTTCCTCTCCTTTTCTTTCCTTACCCCAGGCACTGAACTGCAGAGGGAGACCAGGGAGGACAAATCCCCATGGCAAAACCTCATGGAAGAGGCCGTTTTGAGTGGCTCCACATCACAGGAATCCAACAGGGAGGAAAAGCCCTGGAGATCCCACACAAGGAGGGGCTGCAAACCCAGCCCCAGGAGCTGTGAGGAGGAAAGACTCTTCCTGTTCTGGGAAGGTGGCCAGAGGGAGATCCAGCCGGAGCTCAGAGCTGGTGGAAAAGCCTCAGGGTGGGGAGAACCTCAAAAAGTGCTTGGAATGTGGGAAGGACTTCAGAGGGAGCTTCAGAGCTGCAACCTGATCCACCACCAGGTGATCCACACAGAGGGAATGGCCCTAAGAGTGTGTGGAATGTGGCTTTGGGCAGAGCTGCAGCCTCATCAATCACCGCAAGATCCACAGCGGGGAGGTGCCATACGAGTGTTCTGAGTGTGGGAAGAGGATTTGGACCAGCTCCCATCTCCTCGTACATGAGCAGATTCACAAGGAGGAGAGGCCCTTCCTCTGCCCCACCTGCAGGAAGGGCGTTAACTGCAACTCCACCCGTGCATCCACACCTGGGAGAGGCCCTACGAGTGTGGGGAGTGTGGGAAGAGCTTTAGCCGGAGCTCCAGCCTAATCAGGCACCAGAGGACCCACACTGGAGAGAAGCCCTATGAGTGTGGGGAGTGTGGGAAGAGCTTCAGGTGGAACTGCGACCTGATTGTGCACAAGAGGAGCCACACTGGGGAACGGCCCTTTGAGTGTGGGGAGTGTGGGCAGAACTTCAGCCGGAGCTGCCACCTAATCCAGCATCAGGTGATCCACACTGGGGAGAGGCCCTTCGAGTGTTCCGTGTGTGGGAAGAGATTTCAGACCAACTTCCATCTCCTCCGGCACTTTCAGAGTCACACAGAGGAGAGGCCCTTCTGCTGCCCCGAGTGCGGGAAGGGATTCAAGCACAACTCCACTCTTGTCAAGCACCGGCGCATCCACACAGGGGAGAGGCCCTACGAGTGTCCTGAGTGTGGGAAGAGCTTCTCCAGGAGCTCTCACTTGACCCAACACCAACGGAGGCACTGGTAAGGGAAGTCCTCTGAGTGCCCCAAGTGCAGAAAGAGCTTTGGAGTTGCTCCAACTCCATCCCCCATGGGAGGATCCGCATTGGATGATCCCCAGTGACCCCCGTTGGGCAGAGTTCTGGTTATTCATGGTCCTTAAGATCCTGTTGTATGGAGGGAAGGTGTTGGAGAAATTTCTTTCCCCTCTCCTCGTCCTGGTGTGATTTGGTTGGTAATAAATTCTCTCCCTGTGCCCAGGCTGGGTCTCTGATGCCCATTTTGGTGTTTAGTAAGGGATCTCTCCCTGTCTTATCCCAACCCAGGAACTCTTGGTTAAATTTTCTCTGCCCTGTGCAGCTGTGGGAGGCAGGGACAGAGTGGCTTTGGTGGGTGGCTGACATCAGGCAGCATCACCCAGGCCATGGGCACCCCTGAGATCCCAGTGTGGTGGTGCATTGCCCCCTCCTCCTTTCCAGGCTGCAGTGTGATCTGAGAAATGCTTGTTAGGTCTTGTCCTTGGAAACAGCACCTGGGTTTTGCTCTTTCCAAGCTTATCAGAAACACTGTCTGCTCCCAGGAACTGCTAAAAGGCTCCTGTTTTCCTTATGGCCAGCCTTGGAAAATATTCCTCTTGCCTGAATGGCACAACATTCCTTTCTCACACTTTTAGAGGAAGTGCCAAGCCAAACTGTGGCTGGGATGAAACATCCTTGTGACTGAAGCCCACTCTCTTGTGGCCCTATCAATAGAGGTCTAAAAGGAGACCCTTTGAGCTCTCCTGGGCCACTGTGGGCTGTGACCCTCAGTCTCCCTCTGAGGGGGCCTCTCAGAGCCAGCAAACCCTTGGGTTTGCTCTGCCTGCAGGATCACTGAAACGTGTCCTGGGCTGACACCCTCACTCCTCAAGGCCCCAACCTTCACACAGCGGGAGATGCAAAAGCATCTGAAGGGAGGATTTCCATGACCTCCGAGGGGAATTTTTCACAGATACCTTGTTTGCACTGACTGTTTCTGTCTGTATGCGTGCCCCTGCACGTGTGACTGTGATTGAAAAGGATCTTGTCCAATTAAATATCTCCCAAGGCTGCAGCCATCTCAGTGGCCAGGACCAGAAGAGGCGTGGAGTTCAAATGAATGAGAGCATCCAGACCCGATCTTTCAAATGCTCTGTATAAGGGGGGCTTGGGAAATAAACTGCCTCTGTTGCCACATGAAACTGGGGGTGAGTGGTCTCCATCTCCTGTGCCCTCTCCCCTTGCACATGACCTAACACGTGGTGACCTCCAAGTGATCGGGACTCAGCCATAACCTGGCACAGAGCAAAGGAGACAGATGGCAAAAAGCCGGTGTTTAGAACCGGGAATATTACAGTGTAAAGCTGGGAATTGGTGTAGAACTGGGTTACAAGCAGTGTAAAAGCTGGGAATCAGTGTAGAACCGGGTTACGAGTGGCCTAGAGCTGGAATCAGTGCTAGAACCAGAATAAATACAGCGTAAACCTGGGAATCGGGCGGGAGAGCCGGCACAGTGAAAAACCGGGACTTTGCTAAGTAGACATTGGAAAGTGCTGTGAGGTTTCTAGCCCTGTTTTTGTGGAGTGGAATCACCTAGGAGACCATGGGAGCTTGGATGTCAGCACCAGAAAACTCTGTAGATTTTCTTCTTCAAAAGGAGAGGGATTGATTACGATGAATGAGCCCTACAAGCTTGGTTCACATGGTGTGAAAGCCATCAGCTGGATGTATCAGAAGGGACCGTTTTAGATTTGCACTTTTGGGAGGGAGCTGGACAATATATATTTGCAGCAGCCTCTAATGGTGAGAACATCGGTGTTATAAAGCCTTGGTCAGCAATTATGGACTTGCTAAAACAGTTGGAATATGAGAGGCAAAGGGGGAAGAGCTGCAGCACAGCCGCTCCTTTGTGTAACGCCGTGCAGGAGCCGGCGGGCCCCAGCCACTGTGAAAATGTGTCCTGCTACATTGGGACTGCGGCTGAACT